TGGCGGATCTCCTCTGGGTCTTAACCCGGCCCCTGCAGCGCCCAGGATGTCCTGGAGATTTCGTGCGAGCCCAGACTAGCCTGCAGCCCTGCCTGTGTGCGCAGCTCTCTACTCTGGGCTGTGCGACAGTCACTCCTCGCGCCCTGTGTCCAGTCCCACGAGCTGTCGCTGACATGCTCGAGCCCCCGTCATGGCCCCTGTGTCACAGCAGCTCATGGAGAGATGAGATCGTGCTTGACTCCTCAGCATTTAACAGCAGCAGACCCTACACACATTGTTACACACCCGAGTCCGAACTCACAGCTCATCCCTCACCAGCGGTTCTCAGAGGCTGAGAATTGCACCAGAGGAGAGCAGCCGGTGGATTTGAACTCCCTTGGTGGCCTAGTGGTAAGAAGCTTTGCTGCAGTCCCAGAGGCACATAGTTCGAATCCACCAGCTGCTCCACAGGAGAAAAATAAAAAGCTGAGCAGTCTCCTCTTCAGAAAGATGGATGCAACCTCTTCTCGTGTGATTTGCTGCCTCTGGAGGCTTCGAAGGCCCCAAGCTGTATGGGTCCATTCCAGCTCAGCGGTTCACAATAACCACAGCTTCTGAGTTGGCAGCACATCTCTTTACCCACCAGGCATCAGAGCTCCTTATATTTATTTTCTTTTTTCTAATTTTTTTTTTAAATGGAAAAACTGATCATGGTAAGAGAACTACAGAATTAAAAAATGCATCGAAAAAACCACGTCTCCAGTCCCTCTGACTTCAAGATTGAGACTTAAAAACCATCTCACTGTCAGGAAGCATTTAGGATGAGGGGTTGCCTCCTTTAAGCTGATGACACAGCCGGCTCTGTCGCTGCTCTGGGTACTTCTTTGCTCCACAAAGCACCAGCAAGACGCTGGGAGCCCACAGCACGCCCTGGAGGTGTTAGCCCATGCAGTGTGAGTGAGGTACACAGTCAGCAGAGGACAGACAGCAGCCCTTTGAAGGATGCTTTGGTTTCTGCATTTAGCCAGCACAGTCTGGCTTGCTCCCATAGTGGGGCGTAGGTCTCCAAAGCAGCCTTGAGCAAGTTCATGGTCTGTCCGTAGAGTTTTCAGCTTAGCTTTAGTGCTGACGTCTGACCAGGGCATTTTCATGACAAGTGGGTATTGCAGATGAGAACGTGAAAGGGCCATCGAGTATCAAATAGAAACCTCTTGCTAATTCACGTACACAAGCTAAGTAGAGCGTCGTTCAGGAGGGCTCTGATCACGTTAGAACGCTGGGACTGAAGGATCCCTCACCATAAGGTAGGGCTGATGGAGCCAGAGCAGAGCCCTTGAGATGGTCCTCCACACCAGGAGAGCGGCGGAGGCAGGGAACGCAGCTCCGGCCACCAGCCTTTGACCAGGAGAGCAGCGGAGACAGAGAATGCAGCTCCGGCCTTTGACCAGGAGAGCGGCGGAGGCAGAGAACGCAGCTCCGGCCACCAGCCTTTGACCAGGAGAGCGGCGGAGGCAGAGAACGCAGCAACGGCCTTTGGGCCAGCAGTTCCTGCGTCGGAGGTGTCTTGCTGTGTGGGCATTTGCAGAACGGTCTACACAAGGCGAGAGGCCAAGTGGAAGAAGTGCGGCAGAGCTGCCCCTAGAAGCCAGGTGGCCAGCCTTCTCCCTCGCATGGACTTTGGGCAGGTTTTCTTGAGAACGGCTCCCTGGAGGAGGACGCCATGTGTGGTAGAGGGTGAGTGCGGATAGTGCTGCGTGAAAACACGGCAGCAGGCTACGGAGGGAAAGCAGTCAACTTTAGGAAATACTTTCTCCTCCCCCTTTAAAAGATCCTGATTTTCAGCTACTTCTTGTAGCTCTGACTGATAAGGGCCACTTTTGGAACCTTTGGAACATTAAAGAAAAGGAAAAATACACTCAAGTAGCCAAACATATACCCAGGATTTTCCGTTTTAGTATAAATACATTTCTGTCATTTTTAGTTGTTGACTAGAATTTCATTGTTAATGGATATCATTTAATCAGTTTCCTGTTGTTAGACATTTAGATTTTTTTCTAATTTGTATTTGTTATAAACAGCGGTACAAATTCATTTTTCTACTAACGTCTACACGGTGGGTTGTTGTGTACCGTGGAGTCAGACCCAAGTCACAGCTGCCCTTCCAGCGGCGTCTCAGAGGCGTGAATCACGTGGGCAGCGTAGAGGGCAGACCAGGCAGAGACCGAGCGTGTGCATCTCTTGTGGAGGGCAGGAACCTGCCTGGTGTTGAGTGGTCACCAGGTACTGGGCATCCCTCAGGCAGGCCAGCCTCTCACAGTGAGGGGCGGCTTGATGGACAAACAGGTTTGTTTTTCACTTGCCCCAGGCTTTTGCACCAGCCATTGCTGCTGCATCCCTGCCTTCACATTATAGGCATTTTGTGGTATTTTTGTTTTCACTTGGAGAGACCAAGCTAGATTGCCCTCACTAGGATGTGTAAGGGATGGGGGTTGTGGGGTGTGTGCAGTAAGTCCCAAGTGACTTTTGGGACCAGAACACTTTTTGGCCTTAGTCTTAGTAATGCTGCATTTTCTGAAGATAGTTTTCTCTGAGGTTTTAGGTGTCACATTTATGTTCATTGTTGAAAACAAGGCTCGAACTAGGGTTTTTTAAAGTCACTCTTAAAGTGTACGTGGGAAGCATTTTATTTCCGTTTTCCAGAGTGAAAACCTGAAGCCAGTCTCAAGTGAGTTCCAGGCTAGTGCAGTGCGGTGTTTATGCTCCTGTGTTGAGAACTGCCTGAGACGGAAACTCTTTTTTTTTTTTTTGAAACTCTTAAAAGGTAGTGCCTATCAAGGTACTGGGGACCGTTGGCGTGAACTTCATAGAGTAAGGCTGCATTGAAGCCTTAGCCTCACCTGCCCTTTGGACAGTCTTCACTCTGGAAGGAATGCTGTTCTGAGATGGTGACTCACGCCAGAGAGTGCAGAGTGGCGTCTTCCAAGTCATGTCAGCTCATTTTAAAAAACCCACCACCAGCCAGCCAACCCAGAACCAGAGACCTGTGTTTGCACATCAACCCACAGTGAATGCCAGTCCAAAGAAGGGGTAACAAGATAAGACATCAGGTCCCTCCCGAGACCTCCGCAGTCAAGCACCTTGTATTGCCAGAATACCATCTGTGTCCATGTTCAGGGTATGGTCCCCAAATCGTTGTCTGAATTTGTGCTAGAAGCCGTTTCCTTCTCGCCACCCCATGCCAGTAGTACTTTTATTTTGGAGAACAAGAACTTCTTTGGTGAAATTCTTGCAATGACTAGGTGTCACACGGTTGTTTTTGTTAGTTAAGGACAGCAGCTCCTAATGGCCCGCTGACTAACAGATCTGAACCTTGTCCTATCATGTGCCATCTCATTTCTGAAATACTTGAGCCCTGGCTGCAATCACTGTCAGTCCATCTCATTGAGGGTCTTCCTCTCTTGGACCCTCCATCTTTCCAAGGGATAGTCTGTCCTGACAGCGTGCCCAAAGTATGTGAGATGAAGCTTTGTTATTTTTGTCTCCAAAGAGCATTCTGGCTGTGCTTTCTCTAAGACATATCTGTTTGTTCATAATGAGCTGTGGAATATTCAGTGCTCTTGTCCAACACCACAGCTCAAAGGCATCAATTCTTTCTGTCTTCTTTATCCATTGTTCAGCTTTTATGTATGTAGTGATTGAAAAGCTCATCAGGTGCGCCTGAATCAGGCACACCTTAGTCTTCAAAATGACATCATTGCTCCTTAGTAATCTGGAGCATTCTCAGTCCCTGACTGCAGACTTTCCCAATAAATGTACTCTCTGATCTTCTGACTGCTGATACCAGGGACATTGATTGTGGATCCAGGTAAGATGACGTCATTGACAATTTCAGACTTTTCTCCATCTGTCACGATGTTGCCTGTTGGTCCGTCCAGTGGTGGAAAAGTTTTGTTTTCATAATGTTAAAATGTAATCCTTATTGAAGACTGTAGTCTTGATTTTCTGCAGCAGGTGCTTCAAGTCCCTCCCCTCCCCCCACTTTTAGCAGGTAAGGTCATGTCATCTGGTTATTGATGGGGTTTCCTCCAGTCTTGGTAACACAGTCCAAGAACAGCTTCTTGAATTGTTTGCTCAGCATACAGATGGAATAGGTTTGCAGAAAGGGTGCAATCCTGAAGACAGACACTTTGCAACATTCCAGACCATGCAGTGTTCTTTAGTTCTGTCTGCACAACAGCCTCTTGGTCTTGGTGTAGGTTTTGCTTGAGCATGATTAAGTGTTCTCGGATTCCCATTCTTCTCGATGTTAGACATAATTTGTTAAGCTCCAAATGCCTCTGCATCATCAGTGAAGCACTAGACTTTCTTCTGATATTCTATGCTTTCAGCCAGGATCCATCTGACGTCAGCAGTGATACCCCTGCAGCCATGGCCTCTTCTCAACCCTGTGTACACGTCTAGCAGCTGGCAGTGCACTGTTTGACCATTTCTGAGTGATCTTCAGCTGATTTATCTTGCATGTGGTACCTTACTGATGGCTGGTAGAGGAGATGTCAATGACAGTGTAATTAAAGGGAATTTTAGATTTGTTGACTTGAGTTGGGGTTGGGTTGTGGGATAGGGTTGGACTCCTCTTAACTTTTTGTTGTGAGGATAGAATGAAACTTCTGAGATCCATGTACTGTTTTCTTTGAACCAGTTCAGTAACTGCACCGTAAACAAGGCCTGTGGGTCCACTGCATAGCAACCAAATCTGTGTCCAGGCCTTGCTTACAGTGGCAGTTAGGGAACTGTTCTGAACTTGTTCAGAAGCCCTCATCTTTATAATGCTGTTCCACAAATAGGAAAAAGAATTTTAAAAGTGTTGTTAGGTGTTGTTGACTAAACTCGTTGGGACCCTGTGAACCACCGTCTGCAGCTTGTCCGTCCTTGAGGGTCTCAACACAGCATACAGATGAGACCTCAGCAGAGCTGCCGGCCAGGCACACAGCCCGTAGTGATCCGTGTCTTTTTCCTTCCAGTCTTCCAGTAGTGAGAGTGGCGGCAGCAGCAGCAGCAGCATCAACAGCCCGGACCGGGCGAGTGGCCCAGAAACCAGCTTACACCAGATCATCGCCGGCTCGAGCCCCAACACCCCCCAGCCCGCCCCCGAGCAGTCTGTGCTCTGCCAAGGCCTTTACTTCCACATCAACCAGACCCTGAAGGAGGCCCACTTCCACAGCCTCCAGCACCGAGGCCGGCCGCCCACATGAGGTTCCGGCCGCTTCCTGCCTTCTGTGAAGGGACAGTGCTGTTCAGAGTGGATGTTGCAACTTACGATCTGTTTTAAAGAATTGCACAAAAAAAAGCAAAGAAAAAAATGCCTGTTGGCTTTTCAGTCTATATTTGAAATAACAAGTTCACAGGCAGTTGTTTACTTGTTGTTTTGCTGCACTATTGCAATTTCAAGGGGGCTTTGAGGCAGTTTTTTATAGGATTCTTTGGAGGGTGGGTCTGTCACGTTCTTATCGAGGTCCTGGTCTGGAGTCTTATCTGTGTGCGGAACCCCTCCTCTGTTCAGGTCCAGATTACCTACCAGACCTTGAGTGGGTTCTTTGTGTAAAAAGGCCTTTTAAAATGTAGGACCTTCAATTTTTTAATTCAATAAACTAGTAAAGAGTGTTTAGTTTCCATGAAAAAAAAACCCCAACAACCTAAGTTTTTTTTTCCTCAGTAGAGAAAGCTTGGCTCAGTCTTGCACTGAAGTTAACCGCCAGACTACCTCTTGGTGTGTAGACGTCCTGGTCAAAGTATTCTGTCCTCTGTAACAGGACCACTGTCACGTCTGGTTCAGACCAGGAGGTGACGGCGCTCCTTTTTGTTATCCAGAGGAAATGCGTGTTAGACGCTCTACCCTAATCATTGTTACTCTTCCTCCAGAACCTGCGCTTCAGTAGAAAACATTGCTGTTTCCTGACAACGGGGAACCCCTAGCAGCTCTCAGAGTCTTGTTACCTTAGCAGTGTAGGTGCGCTCCCTGGTAGTCCCACCCCATGTCAAGAGTGCAGGAGGCTGGGGAGCCGCCCAGCTGCTGTCTACAGTAACAGGTCCAGTGAGGCGAATGGTGGAGGATTCACCTTCTGCTCCAAGTAAACCCCAGCGGTGACTGGGGGCCAGTCCTTCCCTGAGACCACAGAGACCTGGATGGCTGAGAGCGAGATGGACAGACAACCTGGGGAAGACTGTGCTGTATTTATTCAGAGGAAGAGGAAGATGCCGCCCTGCTACTTGGTCATACTCGAGAGCCAGGTGAGCTTGAACAGTGACGGTGCAGCCGTGTCCCCCTCCTCACTGACGAGCTGTCTGAACAAGGAGCCTGGGTACATCGGGTCATCTGCCCTGGAGCGCGTCGGGGGGACGACCTGCATGGGGTGCAGAGCAAAGTGCCTTAGAGATCCCTCCCGAGTCCAGCCTGCACACCCCCGGCCCACTCTATGCGGAAGCCCACACAGCACACAGCAGGTCTGAAGACTGCAGACAGAGCTACGAGGTGGACTCTGCCGGATCTGGAGAGGATGCCGGACAGAGTGGAACCTGAGGGCTGTCTCAGGAAGCGGGGGGCTGTCTGACCTCTGACAGGGACAGAGTCTGAAGGTCAGTTGCCATGCACACCCCAGTTCTAGGGGAAAGTACAGTGCAGGCCCCATGGGGATGCTCTGTGCAAGAACCTTTCTGCCATCATCTCTCTAGTTTTAAAACCAGTGCTTGAAGATGATTGTGGATCTGAATGAGACCGACAGTAGGGACTGAAGACATCCACGGCTGAGATTCTATCTAATGATAATAAAGCAGAACCACCAGATGGTGCAGAACACAAGCTAGCTGAGCTCTGAAAACACACGTGTTCACGCACAATTCAGATACCCGGCACGACTCCAGCGGGCTTAGTGGGTGCCATCCTCCTGAGACAAAATGTGGAGGAAGGAGAAACCGTCAAACTGGGGAGACAAACTTCCTGTATTCCCACCCAACCAGAAAGTCAAGGTGAAGGGTAAACTACTGGAGCCCAGTGTCTCTCTTCCCCCTAGTCCACTGGCAGCGCAGCACAGGCTGGCCATTCCCTGATCCCTGCTTTGCGCAGCCTGAGGGCCAGGTGTCCCCTGAGGATGTGCGACCCTGTATGTGAGCACCTTGAAGTTCTCAACAGCTCCACCTAGCTGTACTTGACCGCGCCACCATTAAAGCAGCATCAGTGCATCCTGTCTGTCAGTTCTTTACCGGCTGTGTAACGGGAGTGGAGGGGCAGTTTGTCAGATGCGGGGGCGGCGGCCAGGCCGGGGAGGGACGGGGCCCCTGTTCTTGGTACTCACCTGGGCTTTTGTTTCGGCACTTCTGCTGGTGAGCTTGGCCTTCCGAGTGCTCGTCATGCTCAGGGGAAGAAGTCCAAACCTCCAAGAGGACCAGGGAACGTCAGCACCATCGACAGGGCGTCCTGGGGCCCGGCCCAGACCCTCACAGTCCATTACCTGATCTGACTTGCGGCCAGCGGCAGGATGTTGTGGGCTTCCTGGGAGTTGAATGTACTGCTCCTTGGGGTGAACTGATTCTCTGTCCCAGTAACCAGTCCAAACAGAACCTGGCAGGTGAGAAATGGAGCCCAATAAAACAGTGGGGTTTTTTAGTGTGTAGAGTCCCCTGTGTTACTGCGTGTGTCTGACCCCTGTTGAAGGGCTGTGGTTTTGCTTCGGGATGACTGTCACTGACCCTGGGTGGGAACCCCAGGCAGGCAGCACTTGGACGTTCTGCAGCTGTGGTAAAGCCGCCAGTCGTGTACCCTGCAGCTGTGGGGTCTTCTCCGGCCTGTGGCCCTCCTACCCCCCATCCCTGTAGTGAAGCAGACCCCACGTACGGAGGTGCGCTGCACCAGGCGGCTGAGGTTGTTATTGAGGTGCGGCGTGAACACGTCCAGGTCGAAGGGGTCAATGAGCGCCTCCAGGTACTCGGTCACCTTCTCGGTTCTGAAAAGATGACCAGGTTTATGCTCTAAAAGCAAGCTTACGGGGTTTCTGTGCTACAGGGAGGTCGGGAGCTGGAGATGTTCTGCTTCTCTGGCCATCCTGAGTGGCTGAACCTGAAGTGACACACTGGACGTGCTGTGGACACTGAAGTTGTAAGTGGAGACAAGTGAAGGAGCAGAGCAGGCCAGCGGTAAGCGGAGCCCTGCCCACGTCACAGCGAGGCTGCCCGTGTCCCGCCCTCAGGCTTCGCTGACCAGGCCTCTCACCCCAGGTCCAGGGGGCCTCCACCTGGCTGCCAGTAGTGGTCAGGTGGAACCTCCCTCTTACACCTGTCCCTGGAAATGGCTGTCGTTGGCCTGCTGGTGATGGACACCCACCATGTAATACAACCCGTGCAGCTCAAGGCGCTGCTCTCCAGGGCCACGGGGACAGGGACAGCACCTGCAGAGCGGTCTGCTCCGTCCACCTTTGGCCTCCTCACTCCTGCTGGTCAGCACGATGCTGAGATAGCGCACGTCGTACAGCAGCTGCAGAGCCTGGTTCTGGGTGACTGGAAAGGCGCCTTCTCTCTGCACAGGGCGGAAGGCCGGGTTAGGGGGCACGGCCAGGGCGCGGCCTGACGGCGCAAAGCCGAGGTGTCCAACACCTGTAAGGCCAGGTGCGTCTCGGAACAAGACCCAAGCAGACTGGGCGAGGTGACCGGTTTTAAACAAAATGCAAACCTAACGGTAGAGGAGAGACCAGGCACTTTAAAAGGGCCTCAGGTGCTGAAGGTGGCCATCTGAACTGTAGGGAGGAAGCACCGGTCCTGGGGCTCAGAAGCGAACCTCTTCCTGGATTTCACCAAGAGTTTGAAGAAGGGAGCCCAGTTCACTTCTGGGGTGAGTGTGGTCCTCGTCTTTAAGATGTTGCAGACATACTGAGCCAGGTATGTCACAGCAGGTGCTGTGGGAGGGGGAACTGAATGCCCCTCCTAGAGGACCTCACACCACACACTCATGTCCTCCCAGCCCACTGGGTGGGCATGGTGTGGGGGTCTCCAGTTATGGGCCCAGCAGGTTCAAGAGCTGCCGGCCGTCAGAGCCAGGCTGTGTGGAAGCCGTCCTCCCCTCGGCCAAGCCCCGAAGCCTGGCAGAGCTAAGGCAGGAGTGTTTGTATAAAGCCTGGCAGAGCGAAGCCTGTAGTGTTTGTATAGGACCAGCACAGGGCCAAGCGACCCTGAACCCCGTGGATTCTTCGTGGGATCACCGGAACTAAAGAAAAGGGCTTCTGTTTCTCTGACCCTACCTTGGCTTGGTTTTCTTCTGCGAGTTTCTCGTAGGCAGCTATTATTTGAAGCATACAGTTCCTCAGCGTCTCCTGCAGCGTCACCTTTGGCAGGGTGTGGCCTCCCACTCGGTTGATCTCCTGACACAGGCTGAACAGGAAGGACTGTACGTACCAGGAAGGCTGCGGGGGAAAGCGATGCCAGGATGCCCGCGGGCTCCAGTCAAACGAGGCTGGCTAAGGGCAGACCTGACCCCTCACGTCCACCCACTGGCAGGAGGCCAGGTCGCACGCAGAACCCTCTGGGAAGTGACATTTACTGTCATTCCTGGTCTGGACACCAACTCCTTGGGCTGGCAGGTGGCATGTGGCTGTCCCCCATTTTTATTTCAGTAGCTAAAGCCAACCCTAGTCGGTTCTGACGGGTATCAACTCTGGACGACAGAGCAGATGGAACCATAGAATTCCTACGGCTGAGATGGTTATAGGAGCAGGAGCTATGCACGTGCCTCTGTGGAACACGTGATGAGTCTGAACCACTGACTGGACTCCCTATGAACTCGGAACCTGGGCCACCAAAGCCCGCCTTCTCGAGGGCAGTTGGGCCTCGTGCTGCCTAGTCTGCCCCCAGCAGAAAGTTACAAACAGGAGTCTGTCAGCTGCTACCTTTGGAATGACTCTCTGAAGCTTCCAGTCTTCCCCTAAAACCACCCGCCGTTCCCAACACACGGGTGCTGGTGGAGGGGCCCCGCTGACCTGCACAGGGAGTCGGATCTTGGAGGTAACGCTGCTGCCCGACTCCGTCTCCTCCTGGATTTCCAGCTCCTCCCAGCTGGTGGCCGTGGCCAAGACCGAGGCAGCATCGTCCAGCAGTAACGACTGGGCCAGTTCATGGACCAAAACCTGGGAATCAGAGGCGACATCTGTGGGAGCCCGTCTGGTCCTCTGTGGGTGTGTGGGGGTGCACCCCCTCTTTACTTTGACCACTCGTGTAACTCATGATCGAGTTGGAGTTGGCTCTCAGCTAACCCTCCAGTGCAGCCGGCCCTTGCTGAAGGCTGCGAAGTGCTCTGGTGGCCTGGAGGGTGAGGAGTCCCACTGCCGGGCCAAGGCAAGCTGTGTCAATCCTTGAGCTGCTGGGCCTGCTCCTCCTCTGAGAACCTGACAGAGGGTCCGCCAGGAGTCAGTTCTGACTTGACAGCAGTGAGTTGCTTGTTGGGTCGATTGTATGGGAGGGGTCAGCCCAGTTTCCTCCCAAGGAGCAGCGAGTAGATGTGAACTGCCTGAGAGGCACCAGCTCTGGGCTGGCCGCACAACTCCCCGTCGAGCGGGCCACCAGAGCGCCTTAGTCACTAGAATTGTTTGCCATCAAGTCAGAACCAAGCCTCTAAGTTGTACGGGGAGGAGACTGATCCAGAGAGCAGCTGTTGGATTTGAACCACATGCCTTCGGAACTGCACCACAGCTGCTTCCCACTAGGCCACCAGAGCCCCCCTGAACAAGGGACCTGTGCTAACTGCCCTGTAAGTGTCGGCCCTCACCGGGAGAAGCCTGGGGAACAGGATATCTATTGACCTCAAATAAAAGAAAATTAAAACCCTAGTCTGGGGAGAAAGTGCATCATTCCCTGGGCTTTGGGCTCTCAAGTCTAGGCTGACTACAGAGAGCTTTTAGTTCTGTCGTCTGGAGTGAGACGGTGCAAACGACTACACATAGTGGGAATGGCTGTTCCCTTCCTGTCACAGTCTGACTGAGGGTGGCAGGACTGGGAGGTGGTCAGGAGGGGGTGAAGTGGACCCTCGCGGCCCAGCGCCCACCTTCACCAGCGCGGAGCTCCAGACGCGGTAGGCGGCCACGCTCTGCTGCAGGAGGAGTGCGCGGGCGTCCTGCCACCTGCTCTGCACGGGCGCTGCGTCTGGGGCACTGCCCTTGCCTAGCTTCTTCAGAGCCCTCAGCTCCCGGGCTGGCTTCTCTGCGCTCCCCGACTTCCCCAAGATGCACTGCTTCAGGTGGGGACACAGGTCAGCGAGGGACTGGCAGAGGCGGGCCAGGAAGAGGACAGCGTGCAGCCCGCCGTGGGCAGGGCCCTCGGGTGCCCCGGGCAGGTTCTCCACGCGCTGCAGCTCGCCGTGGACACAGGCCGTGATCTGCTGAACGCAGGCCATGGCGTGAGTCTGCAGCATCTGCTGCACTGTCCCCGCGTCCGAGTACCTGTCAAAGGCGGAGATGCGGGGGGAGGCGTCCTTGGGCAGCGAGGCCTCCTCAGGGGGCAGGTAAGCCAGGAGGTCGTCCAGCTGGCTCTTCAGCTTAGAGTCCAGGGCAGAACAGAAGCTCTGCACACAGGGACTAATGTTGTGGGCTTTCCTGGCCAGGCCGCTGCTGGCAAACTCAGCACGGTTTGCCACGTTGACCCAGGCGGCGTCAGGAGGCAGGTCACTGGGACTCTCCGTCCAGAGGAAGAGGGACATGTTGTGCTCAAAGTGGATGTGCTTGTTTGGGGCAGAGCCGCCAGAGCTGGACTCAAGCTCCTGCAAAGCGGAGACCAGGAGCTCTTCGGAGCTACTGGAGATGGTGTCGAAGCCCCCTTTCATCAGAGTCTAAAAGAGAACGAGAGAAGAGCTCTCATCACAAGTCCTTTAAGGAAGCGGCAAGGCAGTGCCAGCACTCGGAATGCGCTCGTTCGTAAGAGACACGGTGTTGGGAGAGACCAGAGGTCACTACTGAGGACACGGGCATGCTCCTGGCCAAGTGACAGAGGCTGGTCTCCGGTCAGCGCCAGGCCTGCGTCTCTCGATTATTTAACCAAAGATCCCCCGGGGGTAAGGTACGGAAGCAGGCAAAGAGTGCCCATCAGGAGCAGAAGGTGTCAGCGGACACATCACGCAGGGTGTGGGGGAGCGATCGAGCCTGCCGCCTCCTCGCACCTGCCTGCCCCCCCCGTCCCTGCACCTGCCACCTCCCTGCACCTGCTCCCGCTGCCTCCCCTGTACTGGCAGTCCCCCCTGCACCTGCCCTTGCCCCTACCACTGTCCCTACACCTGCCGTCCCCCCTGCACCTGCCCTTGCCCCTACCACTGTCCCTACACCTGC